GTGTGTGTGTGTGTGTGTGTGTGTGTGTGTGTGTGTGTGTGTGTGTGTGTGTGTGTGTGTGTGTGTGTGTGTGTGTGTGTCTTCGGGATCTGCGAGGAGGAAGTGATGGGTGTGGGACTTTGAATCTGCAAGAGCATGATGGTGGGATATGGCAGAGAGGTTTTGCCATTTGGCATTTGCGAAACAGTGGTGATATCCACAGCTAGCCCTTGGCGTTGTACTCTTCAGTATGTGAGATTCATGCAAATATAGGTCTTCAGCAGCAGGAGGGAGGACCTGGAGGAGGAGGAGGACGAGATGATAGAATAGACAGCCGAAAATTGAATATGGGAGAGAAGATTCCAGCCGATTTAGAATATGCTACTTTGGGGTCGCATAGGGTGTCTATTCGATGAGCGATAGATTGAAGCATTTGTACTTTGGCATGTGTTGTAAATTAAAGCACCCCACGGCCTACCACAGGCGTTTGCTCTTATCAGCCTCTGGGTATGATGGCTCGGGGAGTCGGGGATGTTTTTCTTCAAAAACACCAGTTGAGCTCATCTTGTCGATCCACCCGTCTACCCTGTGCTGACCTTTGGACATACGGCCCTGCCTGCACAGGACTAGATGCATTTATTATGGAACACACTCACAGGTCTGCCGAAGCTGGTAGTCGTTGTTTACGGTGAAGATCTTCAAGACCTGCACTGACAGAGGGCATCAACTTCAACTTCATGTCTAAGGAGACGATCACAATGATGATGATGATGATGATGATGATGATGATGATGATGACGAGGAGTTGTTGCAACTTCAAAAGAGAGCTCAGAAACCATTAGACGACATCACAAACTTGCAAGTGTGAGAGGAGCACAACGATGATTATGATGATGACAAATTGTATTTGTTTTTGTTTGGGAAGTCTAGATTTCTGTGTTTAAGATATTGGAGAGGTGATTATGGCAGATGGCATCTGCTAGAGATTGAGTGGTGGTCTGTTAGACATAGCACACTCAGTCTGCTAGAGCTTGAGAAAATAGTAATTTCCTATAATGAAGATTGGAGAAGGGAGAGGGAGGGAGTGGTTAGGATTAGGCGTGTCAGCCATTTGGTAGCACAGATCTGGGGTGGTGGTCCACTGGTCGTCAAGCCAAGTATGTCAGCTGTTTCCTCCAGCCTCCAGGTTATTTAAATCCATTTGACAGCACAGAAAAAGAGCACACTTCGCGGTTACTGTACCTGATTGTCTTCGAGCAACGTGCAAGTTCCAACGTGGAGTCATCCTTGTTTTGTGTTCTTCCATTTTGCCTTTGCTTCTGTATTGCCTGTGATTCACCTCTTATCCCCAGATTGCACACTTGTCCTACAGCTGTAAGTACACATATGTGTCTGTGAATTCTGCATGTCATGTACGATTGAAATTTCCAAGTGTAACTTCTTCATATTGTGTGTGTGTGTGTGTGTGCGTGTAGGTGTGTGTGTGTGTGGGTGTGGGTGTGTGTGCGTGTGGGTGTGGGTGTGTGTGTGTGTGTGATTGAGAGAGAGAGAGAGAGAGAGAGAGAGAGAGAGAGAGAGAGAGAGAGAGAGAG